GCCATTTGTATTATAGAAGCCCTTGATAGAGATCCCCTTTCCCCCCTATATAAGAAATGAGGAGAGAAATTTGCCTTTCCTGGGATGTCAGGAAACAGCAAGAGTGGGGAAGGTTGACTGATACCCAGCACTAATGGGAGTTGTAGTCTCCCATTGCCAGATAGGTTTCTCAGGCTAACTAGGATTTTTGATGGGGAATTTAACGGAGGCAATAGGGCTGGTGTGGATGACAGATAAGGAGAGACTATTCTAGACAATAGCATTGCACATGCCTACAGGCAAAAGCCCAAAGAGAAACTAATGTTTCACCAGACCTACTGGTCTGTGAATCAAGGTTTGGAAAATTGTAATCTTTACCACTTCCCCATCCCGCCCTTCATGTAGGAAGCCTCTGAGGCCAAGAGGCTGGGCTGCCATATGATCACATATATCCAAGTGGCCTAGGAAATTTCCAGTCCCCTAGCAAAATTAAAACACAGAGCCCTTTGCACTTGGAGCTACATCAGGAGGGACAACGGACCTATAGAACAGATACCACAGAGTTCACTAAGTGGAGGTTGTACTTGCAGACTGCACATTCACAAAGGCTTGCCCACACAAGTTGTGCAAGTTTCCTGAGTTTTGCTGCCTTCGCTTTGGGTTTGAGTGAGGCAGGGAGAGATGCTGCCGAGCTGCCGACTGTGAAAGAAAAAGCAGTTCTGTAGGAGTGAGATATATATTGTCTGCCCCCACACAGCTGGACCCATAACTGGCATTTTTGTCCATTTAATTGGACAGCTGCCCTTCTGTGCTTGTGTGTGAGATGGAATACAAATGGGTGCATGGGCCTGTGTGCTTGATCCCTCTAATCGCACACTGTTTGTTTGCTAATAGAGACAGAGAGTGTCACGCTTACTGCTTGGCTCTCGTTTCAGCAATGCAGCAGGGCAGCCACAGGCAACATGGAGCACACTGCCAAGCACGAGCACAGCAACCTGGGAGACACCGTGCTCCTCCTTCACACACACCCCAACACACGCACCCCAAGTTGAAGCAGAAACCACAACAGAGAGGAATCAGGGCCTTCTTGAGTCCTGGAGCTGCTCACGTTCTCCTGATCCGGCTGACAACAGCACCTGCGCTTCCCCTCTGCGGTGCGGCACAATTTGTTTTCCTAGACTCCTGATCAGATGAGACATATCCGATTTTCCAGCATTACAAGGTTGCCCCACTTGTACGACTGCCAAAGTAAAGCTTTCTCGTGCTGCTGTGTGGATTCTGACAGAGCTAATGGCACTGCCCACTATTCGTTATTCATGGTTGTACAGGGCCTGAGGCCATACCTGGTGCCACTGTAAGCATCAGCATCAAGTTAAGAGAGAACTATTTTGGATGCAGGGAAGGTAAAAGTTGTGCTTGCGGCCAGGAGAGCAAACCAGCGTCTGGGACTGCAGAGTGCGGTTGTGGGGATGCACAGCAGTTTGTGCACATCATGGCACACCTCCAGGTGAAATACCTCCCTCAAAGAAAGATTGGGTTCATATTTTGCATTGGTGAGAAAATTTGAATAATTTTCTTTTTTAAAAAAATACAAGTGCCCTGATTCCCCCCGCCTCTGGCTTTTTAAAAAAAATAAAAATGGCTTGCTACCACTTGAAGGTGATGCAGGCATGTCCCTCAGACAGACTCCCCCTGGGAATGACACTACATCATGAGACAGCCAGCTTCAATCCCAGGAGCCCCCTGCCCCAGAAAGGCAGGCAGATCAGCAGAGCCACTGCTTCAAGTAGCAGCAAGACTGGTCATTTTAAAAGAGAGACAGAAATCCCTTCGCCGTCTTGTATAAGGTAAGCCCAACATACTTCAAATCCCTCCATCCCCGAAAATCATGAAACAGCCCACCCATCAGGCAAAGGTGGGGTGGAATATTCAGCCCAGCACTAAAATGAACAGTTGTTTGAAATAAACACATGGTCCCTGCAAACATAATGGTTTTAAAAAAACAACAGCACTTTTTTCCCTGTTCTTCATAGAGTCATAGAATTGTAGAGCTGCAAGGGACTCTGAGGATCATTGAGTCCAACCCCCTAAAATGCAGGAATATGCAGCTGTCCCATACGGGGATTGAACCTGCAACCTTGGCATTATCAGCACCAAAAAGAGTTCTCAGAATAGCTTTAAAATGTTCATAGACAGTCCCTGCCATTGGTCTTACATTCTAAAAGACACAACACAACGGAAAAGGGTATTAGGAAAGGGGGGGGGGAGCAAGCTTAGGCACTATTTTTTACTTTACAAGAATTCTTGCAGTGGCCAACTGTGACTGAAGGAGTTCAAGGAAAGGAAGCCCCCCAAAGCTGTTGGTCTTTCAGCAGAGTAGATGGAGAGGCCTTGCAGTCCCATCTCTCTCCTTTGCCTATGGCCTGGTGGAACCGGGGGTCGCACCCACACCATACATTTAAAGCACAAGGTTCTTCCAAAGAATCCTGGAGATCTTGTTATGGGTGCTGGGAATTATAGCTCTGCAAGTGCTCTGCAATTACTGTTCCCAAGAGTCTTTGGGGGAAGCAAATATGCTTATCTATGGTGTGGACGTGCTGCAATATTGAGTGCTGCTCTTCAGCATTCCAGCTAGCCAGCCATCCTTCTTTCAAGATTCACCATTCCAGTCATCTCATATTGACTTCTGGTCTCCACCCCAGAAACTCACCACTCTGTAGCCACTAAACATGATCAATCCCTATTGGGCTGTTTTTTGGGGGGGCGGGGTGTGTGTGGAATCCTCCTTACAGGTTTCTCCCAACATCTTCAGTACTTCTGCAAACCTCCCTCTTCTGTGTGTGGATCCTGCCATCTTGGATATGAACCAACACTTGGAGAGCATGTTTGCTATGAGTGTGCAGGCTTAATGAATGTGCAGAAGCAAATAAGGTAAAATAAAACATTATCAGTGAAGTCAGCCTTATTTCATTTATGAATGGGGTTCATTCATAGTTGAAATAGGAGGGTGAGAGGGACCATGTTAGCAGAGATGCCCATGTAGCAAGATGAAGAACACAATTGCATATGGTGGGATTTCAGACTCTACATCTCAACCAACAACCTGCTAGGCTCCCTACCTATACAAAGAAGAAGAAGAATAAATGTGGCCTTCCTGAGGCACATGGCATCTCAACAATTTAGACAAGATTACACTTTTATGACATGGACATTTCAACAAAGACTTTCTGCATTTGAATATGGTTGGGGGTAGGGTTCTTTTGTAGTTTGTTTTTGTTTATAAAATATAAAAAGTGATAATGTTCATTTTGCAAAACCCAGTAAAAAAAAAAAACATTACTGGAGGTGGAAGGGGAAAGTATTCCAAGAGCTCATTCAATTGATCATGCAGAAAAGCCCTTAGACGGCAGCTGAAATGGCAAAAAAAATGCGAGTGCATCATGTCAGACTGAGCCATATATCAAAAAGGGGAAGGAGTGCAATCTGCAAGCAACACCTAATGACTCTGCTAGGACTGACATAATGGTCATTACAGAAGGATCACTGCTTTGAAAAAGTCTGTACAAGATGCCTTACAAACTGGGACAAAGGTTAGTTTGGAGGAACATGAGAGGCTCCCACTCAGTGTTCTGTGGCATTTACAGAAGCGTTATTGATCAAAAACACAGTTTGATAAAGTGCAAAGGAGAAGACAGCTTCTTTACTTTGAGACTTGTGTGCAAGAATAAATTTCAGCAGGTGTATTTCTCACTCATGCGTAACAAGTTTTAAAAGATGCAAGGGGCAAGTCTTCAATTGAGCTTAGTTTATTTGTAATATTCGGTTGTGTTTTTCTTACTCTTATCCAGTTTTTAAGGTGATTTTATTTAACGTTGTTTGAATTTTTATTATTTTGTTAAAAATACATTGTTAGTGTGGTGTTAGAAGCTGAGATATGAAAGCTAGGAGCTGAATGGCACCTTAAACCTAGGCTATGGACGCCACAATGGAGTGTCTAGGCGCACTTTTTTATAACAAGAATACAAAGCTGAAAATGAATGAACTGCAGCTAAAATCTTATGTTCATTTTTCACATGGTCTTGTCCTCCTCTGAAGACTGCAAAAAAAAAGCCATGCTTCCCCTGCCCGCCCCCCTAATATTCTTATGAGAGTCCCTTCTCCAGCCTTCAGAGAGTGGCTGGAAGTGGGGAGGTAGAAAAGGGTCCTCCTTTTCTTTCAGCAGTGGCAGTTTTAATCTGAAATTTTAGGTGCAGTACTGTGCCCAGAGCTCAGAAACTGCTTGCATTAATGAAATTCCCTGTCGCAAAATGCGCCTAGAACAATAGGAGTTTTGAACTCTTTGTTAGTGTATTTTTAAACCGCTTAAGAGATCTTTATCATATTAAGCAACATACATTTTTATGAATGAATGAATGTATTTAATTCTAGTCACCCTAACAACAAGCAGGAAGAGCCATTCTGGATATAACGTTGGGTCAACAAGATCTGGGCACCATCACTTGTATTTTTGGTAGACACTTCACACACTCCCAGCCACAGTTATCTATTTGTAATAGGGGAACATTAGTGACCAACCTTACAATGCTATTGCACGCATATATATATATATATATATATATATATATATGTAAAGGTAAAGGTACCCCTGCCTGTACGGGCCAGTCATGACCGACTCTAGGGTTGTGCGCTCATCTCACTTAAGAGGCCGGGAGCCGGCACCGTCCGAAGACACTTCCGGGTCACGTGGCCAGCGTGACGAAGCTGCTCTGGCGAGCCAGCACCAGCGCAGCACACAGAAACGCTGTTTACCTTCCCGCTATAAAGCGGTACCTATTTATCTACTTGCACTTAGGGGTGCTTTCGAACTGCTAGGTGGGCAGGAGCTGGGACCGAACGACAGGAGCTCACCCTGCTGCGGGGATTCAAACCGCCGACCATACGATCGGCAAGTCCTAGGCACTGAGGTTTTACCCACAGTGCCACCCGCGTCCCGCGTTAGTATAATAGCATAACACCCGCGTTAATATAATAGCATAACACATATGCAAAGGTATATATATGCATATAAATATACCTTTGCATATGTGTTATGCTATTATACTAACTGTATTCAGCATGGTTTATTGTATGAACATTTTTTCCTTTTTTATTATTTAAATGCATTTCGCATGTTGTTAAAAGAAATAGGTCATTGTGCTCATCAACAAGCCAGAGAAAGGTATTACCCCCAACAGACACTCTGGCACGCGCACACACACACACACACACACACACAAACAAACACTGCGGGTCACAGCAATCCTTCAGCAGCCTCCTCCTTAGCCTTCCAAGAGGCTAACTGCAAAACATTCTGTCTGTCATGGAATGGCGACACCTTGTGATGAAAGGAAGCAATTGCAACAAGGACCAAAGTAATTCTGTGCATCCTCTGATGGGCCCTGCACCATCTGACATTAAGCACACTTCTGAAAAGGCCACTTTGCTGTCACTGGTGGGGAGAAGCGAACAAACAGAAAACTCCCTTCTCCTGTGCTGCAGAAGATGATGGAAAAGAGCAGGGAAGGAGGGACACTGCCCCCAGCCTGGAAGCTCCTCTAACCTCCCCGCCACATCCTTTGACATCATCCCCCTGTGAGCACTGCTGTTTGGGCCACAGTGTGTGTGTGAAATAAGTGCAAGCAAAAGAACTCAGCAGCTGGTTTTCCACCAATTGCCATTTACTCTGATTCAGCTTTAAAAGAGCAGGTTTTCACAAGGAAAGCTCGGGGGGGGGGGGACGACCTGTGCTTGCACACAGAGCTTTTAAGCCCAGACAGTGCCTGGGAAGCACGAAGGAAAGGCAAGTGTGCACAAGCCCTTTGATGTGCGCTCTTTTACTGTTCTTATAGTGAACTGTGGAATTGCAGAGTTGGAAGGGACACCGAGAGTCATCTAGTCCAGCCCCCTGGAATGCAGGAATCTTTTGCCCAACATGAAGCTCAAACCCACGAGCCTGAAATTAAGAGTCTCACGCTCTACCAACTGAGCTATCCCATAAATCATTGTTCTCATATTAAAACCAAAGTATATGGGGGGAGCAGTATATTTTATGCACCATAAACTTAACAGTGGGAGAATTTCATCGCAGCTGATAGGCTTCCAAAAATTCCCTTCCACTCCCCCTGCATTCTGTTCCTCCAGACAGTCTCCGGCTGCTGTGATGGCTTTCTAGGGCTGCATACACACTTTCCCTTTAAAGGACATTTGAAGTGCATTATTTATCTCAAGTAATTCTAGCCATCTAAAGTAATTCCAGCCACAATTCAAGTCCACTCGGGCTAAGGGGGCACTGCCCAACCAACCTTAGCCAGTCCCCCACCTGCCTACCTTCTCACAACCAGTCAATAGGGATGGCACAACTTGACAGCTACCTCATCCCCTGTCCCAGGCTATTGATTCCATGGGCACAATGAATGTTGAAAACACCCTGTATTTTATCATTTATATTATGACCAGGATAGGGAATTTCTAGCCTGTGGGTCTCTTTTCTGGCCATGCCAGAACAGTTCTTACTGTCAGAAAGTTCTTCCTAATGCTTAGCCTGTCAGGGTTAATGGTGCTTCTAAGACCAATTTGAATTAATTAGTTCAGCTCCTGCCCTCCTGAGCAGCGGAAAACAAGCTTGCTCCATCTTCCATGCCCTTCAGATATTTGAAGTTGCCTACCCTGACACCTCTCAGTCTAAACATACCCAACTCCAACTCCCTCAATAGTTCCTCCTGCATGCAGGTTTTTGCAGCACCCACGCAATCTTGTTCTCATCAAAATGCCATCCCACATTTCTCTCCACCCCTCCCCATTTAATCTGAACTGGTTGTTCCTTTGGTTGTTGTTGTTTTTTTACTTATTAGTGGAAAAGGCAAATCTGGATTAAAGCAAGTGGGATATGGGATAGTATTTTGATAAGGATGTCGTTGTGAGGAAACTGTGCAAAACTTGTATGCATGAGCAGCAACCGAGTCCAAAATAAACTGCTTAGTGGAAGCACCCAGAGTTAAGATTCCCCCACTCCCATTTTAATCCATTAAAAATGTCCTCATTAGCAAGGTTTTAAAAACTAATTTGCATTTACCTTTTTAAAATACAAATTGAACTAATTAGTTCCTTAGTTCCTCTCACAGAGGTCCTACGTAGCCTGAATACAAAATGTGATTTACTGTTGAATCTGTACTGTTCCATTAGTTACAGTATTATACATTTCCACTGGAATAGCACTGCATTATGTGTCAACATCCAGCTCCATCGTTCTTCATATTTATCTGTATTTGCCAACCTGAGGCAATTTACTCGGCAGTCGCTTTACCTACAAAGAGATATGGATCACTGGCTGGCTGTTCTGCAGGCGTGTGGTGTAAACACTTTTGGCTTTTAACTGGTGACATCGCTTTGAAAAATGATGTTTTCCTCCCTTGCCTTTATGGCTGACTGAATGCAAGCAAATGGAAGGCAGTTCCTTGAATTTCGGTCTTGAATTCATTGAGCATGTAGTTATTTCTGACTATCAAAGTGGGGGAAGAACCCAAACCCTGACTGCTCTTATTTCCAATATTTGGTTCATCTCGCCCTTGTAAATTTTTTATCTCTCTTCCTCTTGGTTTATAAATAATGAATACCCCATCAAGACATACAGTAAGATGATAAACAGGCGAACAACCTGGATCTCTAATCCAGCTCTTAGAGGTCATTCTCTGGAGGTAATAGCAACTTTAAGGCTGTGTACAAACTCCTGTACAAACTTTGAGGCCTGTGCACAAACACAGTGTGCTCCTCCAGTGCGCTTCCACCACTGGTTTGGGAAGAAGTGTGCATACAACATTAGCCACAATCCATATTGATCCTGTACCTATCATGTCACTTCGTAGGAAATGCTGCATTTTGATGCATTCCCTGGTGTTATGTACTGAAGTTCTCACCCTGGGCCAGCAGGGGGATACTGTAGATAGTTATGCAAATGAAGGATCGAAAGTGACGTTCAGTGATTGGATAGTTTTAGAAAGTTGCAACAGTTATGTTGTTCTGGAGCTCTATATAAGCAGGCTGACTGAGCTCTTCAGTTCAGTTCTATTCTGGCCTCTGAATAAACAAGTGCTGTTGAAGAATCGCTGTGTCGTCTGATATGTTCGCCCACAACTTAACACCCCGCAAACCAGCTTCAATCGAAATTGAGAAAAAGAACAACGTCGCTGTGTTTTAAGCTGGTAATGTGTACACAGCCTTGGCCTCAGTCCTGTTCTCCTCTTTCAGTTCTGTGAACAAAACTGAATCCACAATAAACTGCTGTGCAAAAGGCACTCTTCAATATCCTGTCTGTCCCGCATTTGCAAGGGATTGATCCTTCAGTGTGGCAGCACCCACTACTCTTTGGAAATCTCTGCCTATTATTATGAGACAAGCCCATTCACTATACTGCATTGTTTTTGGCATGTGCCATTTTTGTTTAGGCACACCTACCCAGACATACAGTTTTAAAACACAATTTTAGCATATAGTTTTATTATGTGACTGTTTTATACCTGCTGGTTTTGTTTATGTTTTGATAAATTTAATGCCAAGTTGTTTTTAATGTTTGATTTTACTGCATCTTTGACATTGTTTTAAGTAAACCAACTGCGGGGAGGGGAGTTGTCAATTAAGTTGTATATAAATTTGTCAGATTAAATGGCAATAAATTGGGCACAGAAGTTCAAAGGGAAAGGAATGGATATATTGAAGGAGAGTTCTCAAAGAGCTTCCAGAGCCTACTATGTGAAAGGAAAATAAAACAGAAATGCCAGCACTGTGTGTGTGCCCATACACACAGTGTGTGTGAAAGCACACTGGATATGGAGTGTGCCCAGCCCAGCCTATGTGCAGAACTTCGTCAGAGAGAACTGCACAGCACTTCTGGGATATTATGGGGCCCTCCTGGAAACCCCCATAAAGCTCTGCAAATGTTTGCAGCTGCTTCCACCTATAGCCCCACTGCCTTTCAGCGCCACTTCATTGGCTGAAGACAAGCTCCCACTCATAAGCCTGCATTCCAGAATCACGCAAAATGTTATTTGCCCCTCATCTTTCCAGCCTTCCTCAAAACCCATTCTCACATCCACCCCCCCGCCTTTTCTGCATCTGGTGCTTTACCATCCTTATCTCACTCATCCTAAAAAACAATCCTGTCTGCAGTTGGTCTCAGGAATTCTTTACTGTCTCAGAACCAAACAATAGGCAACAATTGTCACATAGGCTGGGCTGGGCACACTCCATATCCAGTGTGCTTTCACCGTTGGCATTTGAAACTGAGTATGTGTGACGTTAGCCACAGTCCCTTACCTATCCTGTAGTTTCTTGAGAAATGCTGCTGTCTGATGTGTTTTCCCGCAAACCAAATTCCATCTGATTTGAAATTGTAAACTACAGTTGAGCTGAGGCATCTGTTGAGCATGCACAGATGGCAGCAGCACATGTGCAGGTGACAGCTTCATTCAATAGGATTTGGGGGTGTTGCAGGCACAGGGAAACAAATCAGGTAATGTGCATCAGGTGAAGACATCCCCACCTCCTCTCCAGTGTGCGCAGCAACATAAAAATGTGACCTGAAAAGCAGTGGGGAGTTGACTTACTGCATTTTAAGCTGCTAATGAGCACTTAGGCATAGTTTCCTCTGACTTCTTTTCTTTTCTTTTTTAATAGCCAGCATGGCAAAGCAGGGGGCAGGGAAAAGAGGCAAGTTGAATAGGGAGCATGTCAAAAAATCAAGCATGCCGGGAAAAACACACCAAGTATGCCAGCAAAAGTGACCTATAGTTCAGCCCTTAGAAAGGCCATCCAGCACATGGAATTTGAATCAAGGTGTTCTGGGTACAAGGCTAACAGCTTTCTGGTCTAAACTGGACTTCCCTTCCTTTCACCAAAATGCCAGTGCGAACATCGGCCTGGCAAGGAAAATAACTTGTTACTCTTCACTATTCCTTTATCAATCTCTATCCTCTCTTTCAGTATTCCTCTTTGCCATCTAAGGTAGACAGGCTTTAAATTAATTAATAAATTTGCTGCATTTATATCCCACATTTTTCACCAATTTCTATTCATCCATATATATTTTTTAATTTACTTATTTATTTATTTATTTATTTTATGAATTGCTTCCCATGAAACATCCAAAGCAATTCACAGTAAAATCAGGAATCAGAATTGGAAGGCTCTCAGTGAACTGGGTAATTCAACTCCCTGTGAAATATATCAGAACAAAAAAAAAGATGCCAGAAAGTTTTGTACTGTTCCTAAATCAGCTTAAAGGGCCTAATGGACAGATAGGCACTGTATACATTTTTGAAACAGACATCACACAGAGGTGGTCAAGACTCTCATGTTTAACAGCTCACCTGGCTGCCATTGGTGACAAGGAATCCTATGAAAGGCGACTGAGCAAGATGGCAGATCTGCCCTCTGCCAGCCCACTTGGTTTCTGACTTGGCTGCAGAGGAAGGGGTTTCCTCTCATCCGCAGCCAGCATGCAAGTTGTTAAATACAAACCTATTCATGATGATTTATTTAAAACACTGAGAACTGGGATAGCTCATTTGGTAGAGCACGAGACTCTTAATCTCAAGGTGGTGGGTTCAAGCTCCACGTGGGCAAAAGGATTCCTGTATTGCAGAGGACTGGACTAGATGACCCTGGTGGTCCCTTCCAATTCTATGATTTTATTATTTATATCCCACCTTTCCATACAGTGGGGTAGAAGTGGGCTAGGTTTGGACATCTCATCATGTGATTGATTCACTATGTGCACAAATCATAATTTTTCCACGACAGATGGCACTTTGAAAAGTCACTATGAAAGCCTCTAAGATCAGTACTGGCACATCAGGAAGTCAGCTTACTCTGAAAAAATGTTATCTCCATCACATAAAGACATCCAATGGCAGTTTCATTGCACACCCAACTCCAAACATATCACACTTCAGTTTAGCCCGTATCAATCCTTCTTTCAGGGTCAAGTGAATCAATCCTTATTGTACACTTCATTTAAGGGTAATAAATCTTGAATGGAGAGATTTAAGAGACTATAATGACGCCTCAAACCATTTGCACAGAACAGAGGAGGAAGACTTTAAAGCGAAAAAGCAGAGAGGAGCCTTTCCAAGAGCTCAGCTACTGAAACTAATTTGAGCAGTGATATTTTCTTAAACTGCTGATTCAGATAAAACAACACAACAGCTGAAAAGCACACTGCTCAGTATAAAATACATCCTCGCTAGTATTTAAAGGAATAATAAAATATCTAGCAAGATTAATTCAGAGCCTTTGGTCAATAAACCCTTTAAAGAACTGGCACAAAACGATATTGTCTGGCACGGGCAAGGCCGAGATAAATTTGATTCCTTGAGGAACAGAAAATGTAATGAGAAAATCTCTTAATAGTGCCAGCATTAGCATTACAAGGACAAGGGCTACCAAAGTCACCAATTTGTTGCAAGTGCTACGCTGTGCTGCACATGCCAAGTAGGCTGTGAGATCAGAATAGAAAAAGAGGAGCAGGAACCGAAAGGAGGGGGTGTCAGCAATCCTTGTCCAAGAAATGCTGCCCAGTTGCAACTTGGATGCAATAAATTATCATTGATCCCTGCCTGGTAAGTTATTTCCAGCAAAGTTCTGTCGTGCTTTTCCAGGATTGATTTTTTTTTTAAGTCTATGAAAAAGTGAAGATCTAGAGCTGCGCTGATACAGTAATAATACATGCCTGTTTCTCATTTATAGATTTTCAAAGGATATTTCATGTGGCCAAATATGCAAGAGAAGTAGCACACACACACTTATATATACATACTATAAATCCCAGTCATGAACACACACACAAGAAATGAAGTGGGGGGAAATTGTGACTAGCTTCATGAAAGAGGCTAGTGGTGAAGGCACTAGCACACCATTTTTAGTCATCTCCTTTCTAGACCAAATAACAGAAGACTCCCCACTTCTTTCCACTAATGCAGAGGGAGAAGAAAAAAACCTCAGAAGCCTCTACCAGCAAAATTAGCCCCCCGTGAGGCTGCATAAAAATCATACATTTAGAGCAGGCCCATGGGCCAGATGCGGCCCAATCGCCTTCTAAATCCAGCCTGTGGATGGTCCGGGAATCAGCGTGGTTTTACATGAGCAGAATGTGTCCTTTTATTTAAAATGCATCTCTGGGTTATTTGTGGGGCCTGCCTGGTGTTTTTACATGAGTAGAATGTGTGCTTTTATTTAAAATGCATCTCTGGGTTATTTGTGGGGCATAGGAATTTGTTCATTTACCCCCCAAAACTATAGTTCGGCCCCCACAAGGTCTGAGGGACAGTGGACCGGTCCCCTGCTGAAAAAGTTTGCTGACCCCTGATTTAGAGCACATTCCCCCTCCCAATAATCCTGAGAACTGTACTTTGCCCCTCACAGAGCTACAATTCCCAGAACCCTCAACAAACTATAGTTCCCATGATTCTTGGAAAGGCAGAAACATGCTTTAAATGTATGGCGCATTTCCAGTTCAACCTGTTTCCATCCACATTCATTAGATTGCTCAGCAAACTGAATACAGGAATACAAATTCACATTCAGTAAAGGGAGGGCAGTGAGAGGAAGAGTTGGGAGACAATTAATCAACTGTAGACTGCTACAGCATGTGTTCCCTTCTCCCAGGCTTACCTCTGTGGGTTGTTCTGTGCAGGCATCCCCAGCTGATGGAGTGGAGTTTGGTATTTATGTCTGGAATCCCAAGTCCTGTTAGGGTTCTAAGCAAATAAATATTGGTAATGTTATCAAGCTACATGAGGAGAAACAGGAATGTGCCTCTCCCTGTACCCCAGTCCCCCATCCCGCCCTTCTGCTGCATGCCAGAACCACCACCGCCCAGCTGACCTCAGCAAGCAGGGGAGCGTTCCACAAGGCTTTGACAATCATCTTCTCCGCCCCAGGGGTAGGGAAGATGAGTGGCAATGCCATGCGCCAGAATGCTCTTGCACTTCCACCACCTGAGGCAGCCGCTTCCCTGTCTCATGGATGGGCTGGCTCTGTTCTCAGGTTCTCTGTACCCTGTAAGACTAAGTTGTTCTGTACAATGTGCTCCCTTTTTATGTAAAACGTTCTTCCTCCCTGTAAGCTTGCATACACTGTACCTTTAAAACACATTCAAAGCACTCAAAGAATTCTGAGCACCATCGTTTACACCTCACAGTTTGTTTCCCCCTTGTGCATGCAGTGCTCTCCTCCAACTACTGCCGTTCCACAGACTTTCCTCCCTAAATCCAGAGATTCTCTGTACTTTCAAAATCCAGTTAGGAGAATTACATTGATTGCATAGGAATCTCCAGGTGTAGGGAGGAGAAAGCGTGTGACAATGGTAGGTGGAAGACAATGCTGTATGGATGAGGGGGAATTAAAGGAGGCGCAAGGGGCTCAGAATCCATACTAAGATGAGTTATGGATGGGGCCCAAATCTTCAGTAGAAGATTGGGCCCTAAAACCCATTTGATTAATCACAGATCTCTGAAAAACCATACAGCAGAAGCTGACAGACACCACTTTTGCAGGGCCTACTTTGCTTTTTTTTTTTTTTACTAAAATGCTAACTACAAGCCAAGGCCTGGGGTAAAATAATGACTTGAGTTGGCAGGTGGTGGTGGTGGAATACTTTTAAAATTAAAGAACAGAGAGCGCCTTCCCATGCTGAAGCTAGGAATTTGTTTTAATTATCAGAAATGAGTTCACAGTTCTGTCACACCTACACGACATTCCTAGTTTTCCCTCAAGTCTCTTTAGCTCAGCAGCATAGTTTAGAAAGGGATAAGGGAGAGCCTTTTGTTGTTGCAATTGTTAAACAGCTGGGAGTTATTGATTGGGCCAACAAGTTGTTCATTGGGCCAACAAGCTCCCTCACTCACTCCATGTCACGCTTAAGTTCTAGGCAACACAACGACAATGTACAATAAACAATCTTTTATAGAATTCCTTCAAACCATAACAAGTCCAAAATGAAATCTTTAGACTAAAGTTTTCAGTTTGGACTTGTTATGGTTTGAAGGAATTCTATAAAAGATTGTTTATTGCATATGTACATAGTCATCGTGTTGCCTAGACATTGCTGACGTTCTCTTTGCAACACAGGGGTTTGTTTGGTTACTTACGCTTAAGTTCTAGGCAAACATATAATGCCTACATATAACTAAGTTAACATTATGAAGAAAATCTAAATTTCTTCAGTGTTGACTAGGAATGTGAAATTCTTTCATTTTCTATCGTAGAGCAGGAAAATAGGATCCAGTAGGAGGGGTTAGGTTTTGATAGGTTGAGTAAGTTTACAAGTGAGCACTGCCTTAGCTCATCCCTCAAATATCTAGGAAACTGTAGGCTTGCCATACTTTAGGAAAATTATTGAAATGTCAGGGGAAATGCAGATATACGGGAACTTGATGGAAAAAACAGTGAAAACAGCTCAAAAAGCTTTAAATCAATTTGGGTTTGTTCCCAAAAAGCTCAACAATATTGGCGGTTTCCTTTTAAAAGCTCAACAATTTTGGGGTCTTCCCAAAAACGCTCAACAACTTTGCGGGTGTCAGGAATTTTTGTTTTTAATATGGCAATCCTGAAACTGAGTAGACAAAACAGTTTTATTTTAGAAGCTCCGATTTTTAGTTTTACATATTGTAAATCTCATGACATTTACTTGGTTTTGTAAAGTAGTTTTCTTTTATTTTTTTACTGTTGTTACCTGTCTGGAGCACTCTAAAATTAGACGGGGCAGAAGTTGCTATATAAATAAAAATAAGAAGGATAAACAGCCAACTTCAGCCCCTGGAGGCTCACAAGATGTCGCCCTAGAAATGGGGAATACTTCAGCCACTCAGGGTTCAATACTTTACTGACATATCTGGGAGTAAGCCCACTGAATTCAATAGGACTTAGTTCCGAGCAGACACGTAAAGGACTGCACGGCCACCCTCAGCGTTCCCGCCTAAAAACTAAACTGGCCATTCCTTCCCTCACCCGCTTTCTAAGTACAGTACTGTACTGTATTTCATTGCCCTGCGCAACCGCCAGCAAAACCTAAGCAGGTGCGGCATAGAACTACCGGAAGTGTGGCAGAAACCAGCACGGCACACCAGGAAGTGTGGCGGGAAGAAACACGGAAGTGCGTTCATCATAGACAGTAGTACCATAGAGGCGAGACAGGAAGAAGGGCATTTCACGTGGGAGAAGCGAGACAACATGTCAGCCTCCTTGCTGAGGAAGGGTCTGGAGTTGCTGGAGACGGCGGGAGGTAGTGTAAGGCAGCGGGGGACTAAGGGAAAGGGATGAAATCCGTTCGTTCTTTACTCTAATAGGCTTTCTCTCTTTCTCTTCCTCTGGACAGCGTCCGCTCCCCGGCCCAAGAGGGCAGCCACCACCAGCCCACCCAGCAAGCAGTCGCTGGCGAGGGCGAGGAAAAAGAAGCTCTCTCGGCCCCAAAAGGAGAAGGCGACAGTCAAGGGCAAAGTCATCAAGTCCGCGTTAGGTGAGCGCCGAGGAGCCATTATCTTCGAATCCACCCATAAGTTTTTTACCAATCAAAGCAAAACCCTTCAGGCAAGCTTCCTCTGAATCCCGGGAGGATGCAGTTAATCACCGAAACCTTATATTTATTACGATGGCGAACAGCAGAGATGCTCAAGTTTTAAAGCGAACCGCTTTGACTTTCCACCTTCTTCAGCTGTTCTTATGTGTATCAGACGCTGCAGCCGAGGTGGCAGTCTCAGAACAGGAGGGAGTATTTGGAAGTGTGGCTGTTGTCGAGTGATGCCTGTTATTCTCCTCCAGGTTGAGGCTTTTTAGTTTAGAGAGAAGGGGAACAATAGGAGATATGCATCCAGGTGCATTAAACTATGCTTGGTGTGGGGAAGGTGGGTAGAAAAAATGTTTTTCTCCCTTATAATACTGGAACTTGAGTGCAATCCAACCAAGTTGAATGTTGGAAAATTCAGGAGAAACAAAAGAATGTATAAACGACAAAATTCATTCCTACAGAAGGTAGTGATGTCTACCAATTTGAGTGGTGCTAAAAGAAGAATAGACACATTCATGAAGCATAAGGCTATCAGTAGCTACTAGCCATGATGGTTATGTTTCCCTCCTCTGTGGGAGGCGGTGTGCTTCTGAATACCAGTTGCTAGGAATTACAGGTCGAGAGAGTGCTATTCTGCTCATATCCTGTTTACTAACTTCATGTAAGCATCTGGTTAGCAACTGTGAGAACAGGATCCTGGACTAGATGGGCCATTGGCATGTTCTCTGTGTTTCTTCAATGAGATCCTGTATCAAATATATAGATATATCTCCATATATACCCAGGCATTTTGAGGTTTTTTCTAGAGCAAATGACATTTCTGTTGCAATTATGGATCAACCAGAGACGCTTTAATTATCCGAATATTACCTCACCTACTGTACCCTCTGTTCACACCAAAGGAACTAAGGAATATGGAAACCAAAATGTTTTGCTTAAATATATCTGTTTTGTAAATCACTGGTGATGAATGCAGGGTCTATGTCGGTTCATATGGGGAAAGGCAGTCCTTGAGGTCCTCTGATGGTTTGCAGATAAGGAATTCTAAAAGGAAGCTGAAAAGACAAACTGACTTTTGCCCCAGCTGGAGCTGCTTTAAAAAACTCTGTGCACATGGAGAATTGTGAATGACATGTAGGAACATTCTGCAAGACTGTAATAACACATGCCCAGGCATCTGTCCTTGTTTTGTATCCATTAGTTACATTAGTTGCTTAATGAGCCGAATTGTGTATTTGTATAGACATGAATCTCTCTACTACCATCACTTCCCCACTTCCTTGGGCTTCTCAATGTACTGTATTATAATTAAGATCTGTAAGGTTTTGTGATTGACCTATTATCTACCTTGAAGTGACTTCAGTATTCACTTTAGTAAATAATTTTGCTCTTCACATTGGGAATTAACACATGCCCCATGCATGGTCCTAGTTGATCCAATGAAAGACCACCTTACCGGTTTTATCTGTACTTTTAGATCTATAACCTGTGCTACACTATATGATGGGCAATTAAAAAAATTAATAAATCTGGGCCGCAGTGGCAATGTCCATGCCATACATGAAAGAAAGTATCAGTCATAGCAGCATGTTACATCTCGCTGTATCTGTTGAACAATCTTACTAACAATTATTTTCTTAACCTTCCCAGAGGAGTATACGAAACATCAAGCTGTTGACCATTTTCAGGAAAATGTGAAGTACATGACTAGTAGCCATTTCATGACAGACAGCACCATCACTCAGAAGGTGAGCCTTCTACTCTGTTCATTAGATCCCATAGTTTACTTGGAGGCAGGGGTGAGGAATGTGCTGTCGTTGCAAATTTGTTTTTCCTGTCTTGTGCCTTGTCACACCCCCTAACAATAATGTTTCTTTAATAGAAATTGAGTTGATAAAGTTTGCTTGAAATATGGGTTCTATGTGCCATATGTTGTGTAAGAAAAACTAACAAATTTCTATACCTGTAAAGTATCAGTTGAAATGATGTCTCAAAAGGAAGAGCTGTAGCTCAGTTGCAGAGCATCTGTTTTGCATGCAAAAGTCCCAGATTCAGTCTCCAGATGGAACTGGGGATATTCGTGGCCAGAAACTGCCAGTCAGTGTGGACAGTATTGAGCTACATGGACCAATGGTCTGACTCTGTGTAAGCCAGCTTTCTGTGTACCTAAGGTCAGATCATCTTGAGAAAGAAATTGCATTTTTCCACTTACCTTCTAATTCCTATTGCTTCTTGCTCTGCCATTCTTACCAAATAGTAAATATTTATCTTAATACATTAAAAATATATTTTTAAACAGTCTGGGGAATTCCTAAAATGATTTCTACTAGACTGTAAATCAGACTTTTTGACTCAAGTATTTTTTTTTTATTCTCAACTTGCATGGGTCCTTTTCTTCCCAAAAGGAAGAGGCAGTTGCTTTTGAAATTGGACCATGATTGAATTTTAGTATTGGTATGCAGCAATGCAGAGTGTAGCCTTGTTGGACTGAATTTCCTTAAATTATTTTGAACCAGAGCCTAGACTTGGCTCTATTTGAACAGTGTGTCAGCAGTCTGTGCTCAGATGATTGTTTGAGCTGGAAGATAAATTGAGATTTGGGAACTGTAAGTAGTTGTGCAATAATAGAAAGCTGTAACTTCTCATTTCCCTTTGTTTTGTGTCTGAAGGTTTTGGCCCAAAATAGAGGCAGGAAAGCCAGAGACCGCCGTCAAGAGGAGGAGAAAAAGAAGCCTGAAGGCACTGTTTTCACTGAGGAAGACTTCCAGAGATTTGAGAGAGAATATTTTGGGGGAACTGGAACAGTCTGACAAAAACGACACTGTCTCCTGCTTATAGAGAAAACATCAAAGATGGATACTTCCTTTTTATAAGCAATTGGGAGCAGAACTTTACAATAGGGAGCTGAAGCACCTCTACATCTAACTTGTTCAGTCCTCTCATGCAGGATGTCTGCTCTTTCTTACCAAGAAAACATTGTTCCTAGGAATTACCTACTTTGGGACTTGGGGTTCTACCTCTCTAATACTTTTTGAAGCAGTATGAGAAAATCCTGGCTGGAACCAATCATCCCCCACCCCCAAATAGTTAAGAGGCCTGAGAGACAAATTGAATGCCAATGTTGGGGCAAGGGGAATTCCACCAAAGTGTGGGAATTAAATGCATTTCCTTTTGCAGGAATGCTGCTAGGAAAACTCCATAAATGTGTATTTCATTATTACACTTGCATTTTTGTCCTCCTTCAAAAGAAATTACATCATATATACAGTTGTGCTTCGTACCCCACGTGATCATCTCTCTAAAGCATCTTAGGTTTCTGTATTCAGTGTGAGGCTGTAGTAACACTGCTTCTGTTACTAAGTGAAAAGGGTCTCTAGTTGACAGTTTCTGAAAATGATTCTTGAGGCTTACAAGGTAGGTATTTATGGTATAGCGTAACTTGTGCTCTTACAGTAGCTTGAGGGCAAGTAGCTTGGGGGCACATCTGGATCCTTTGCTGTCACTTGAGGCCCAAGTGGTCTCAGTGGAGCGAAGTGCCTTCCATCAGTTTCGACAGGTGACCCAGCCACGCTCCTATCTGGATACAGATAGCCTAACTTCTGCCACCTGTGCTCTGGTAACCTCTAGGGTCGTAGTAGTAGTAGTAGTAGTAGTAGTAACATTTCTTATATACACAGCTCATCAGACTGGGTGGCCCCACTCTGGGTGATTACTGCAGTGTGTTATACATAGGGCTGCCTCTGTAGACAGTTAAGAAACTTCAGCTGGTGCAGAATTCAGTAGCCAAGTTGGTAACCAGGATAAGAGGGTTTGAGCATATTACACCAATCCTGAATTGCCCGTCGATGAGTTTCCAGGCCCTATTCAAAGTGGGTTTTTTTACATATTAAGCTTTGAACTGCTGAGGACTGCCTATCACCATATGAACCAACCCAGACGCGATGATCATCATCTGAGGACCTTCTTTGTGTACCTCAGGAGATCTGGGTGGCAGCAACACAAGAGTGGGCCATTTCTGCAGTGGTTCCGTTTGTGGAATGCTAGCACCTTTATTACACACCTTTGGATCCCAGGCAGAAACAATCCTCTTTAACCAGGCCTGACTAATTTAACATCTTATATACCCTTTTAAATGTGTCTATGTAAGTGGGGTTATTAGTTGTTTTGCTTTTTTTATGTAATTTATTTACTTTTTGTATTTTTGTTGTGAGACACCGTGATCTTTGGGGGAAGGACAGTATACAAATTTAATAAATAATACAATTGTCATTTAAAGTGCTCAGTATACTTGGACCAAGTTGGGCTGGGAGCCGGTAGTGTTGGAGGGTAGCTGATGGTGTAAATGTTCAGCAGCTTGTGAACTATTTAAATTTCTTAATTTTGCTGTTACTGCAAAACCCTAGCATGTTACTGTCTCCCCAAAATGAGTTGGGAAAGCCACTGCCATCCAGTTGTTTGAAATTTCCATAATCCCAGAGCATTGGCCATGCTCCCTATGGCTGATGGTATAAGGACCACAGCTCTCCCTCCGTGAGCCAATTGTTCAGTTATTGTGCAAATTCATTTTAAGAGATGCCATCTGCACCTAGCAGCCTTGGGCAGCTGCCAAGCCCCCATTCTGACCCATCAAAAAAAAAATTGACATCTGTATTAAACTTTTCAAAGTGCATCACGCCAAGTGCAGCAAAATTGAAATGGCAAGACTTTGCCAGTGCAATTTCTAAGACTGCTGAACTCATGCCAGGTAAGCCAAAGACCTAGTCAAAGACGTCTTACTAGTAGAAATACCCCTCTGCCCCAATTATGTGAAAATATTTTAAATATTTTCTCCACCTCATCTTAATTTGGGTTTAAATTACTTAGCAAAATCTGCTGGATGGCGCAGTAACTTTACCAGAATGTGGCAACAGCACTCTGCCAGTAAATCTACTGTGGTCGTCAAAAGTATGGGTGCATAGCTTTTGCTACTGATTGCTGAATTGTTAGGCTGTTGAAAGCTTCTTCCGAGTATTAAGGGAAAAAGCACCTCCACCAATGTAGGAGGCAGATGAAGCTGTCTTGCTGAAAGTGTTCTTCAGTGTGGATATTCTTAGTTAACTTCCTTTTCTTTCTTCCCCCCAGCCCAGGATGTAGTCACACTCAACAGAAATGCAATCATTTCAATTCCCTTTATGCATTTTTGTTGCAATATGGCGTTTCAAAACATTGTCTGCAAACAGACTGAGAAGTCTGACAAATTACCGTAACCAAATTTTTAAAAAACCTCATAGAATTAGCTCTTGCTCCCTTCATGCACTTTTGTCAACTGTATCTAACCAAATGACACCCCCCAAGTACATAGCAGAGTAAAACTGCAATTAAGGTTGCTTTTGAGAATAAAGGCCTTTGGATCATTAAACTTAGAACTATTTATTGGTTGTACCAATAATTAATCTATGAAAATATCCACACACATAACTAGCTTGGAGAGGAATACTGCTGAAAGTGCCATATCCCATTTTTTAAGCCTTATCAAATGACGTTGCCAGGTTCCCCCCACACCAGCATAATCCAGACCCCTATTTTTATTCCTTTTGAATTTTATTAAAATCTGCAGACCAAGCCTGCTGTACGTAAAACCTCTATTTGCAAGACAAAAGGCAAATGTGTACTAGAAAATAATTTATTAAGCAACAATACACAGCTCATTGTACTAAGCTCTTATATACATGCATGTAACATATACCCTTGACTACCCTATTCTGGGACTTTAACTTTTTTACCCTTGGCCTTCCGGACCTCTTCAATTAGATCTTTCAAATACTGAATTTCTTTGCTCAGGGAATCTGCCTTTTCCCTCAGTGTTTCATTTTTCTGCTCTAGTTCTCTACATTCCCCTGATAAGGCCTCCTGCTCTAACCTTTTCTTCTGTCGATAGCGTGTAGCTGCAGTCTTGTTTTGCTCCATCTTCTTCAGTTTCTTATCTACTCTCTTTTCTCCTTTCATCTTTACTGACACTACCTTGTCTGCAGGATGATCATAAGGTTTGGACCTCACAGGGCTATCATGCAGGACTGTGACTGATTGGCAATCACTGAGGGAATTAACAGAAGTGGTGGGGCTTTGCTGGGGAGACCCCAGGTAAGATTCTGGACTCATGCATATTCCACTATCATTGTCTGAGTGAACTTCATCCTCTTTTTCACACTTTGGAATCACCACTACTAAGATATGGGCTTCAGTTTTCTTGTCTCCTTCAAGAACATCTACTTCACTGCCTAATTCTAAACTGAAAGAATGGTCTGTCGTGGAAATCACTGACTCTGGAGTGAGGGGAAATGGAAACAAGGGGGCCAGTGGGGCCACCTGGTCTGCCCCAGAGGGAGACTTAGGAGAATGAATAATTAATTCTGTTATCAGTGGAGTTTCTTTGTTGGGAATTTCTTGGACAGGAGGGTCAAATAGATCACACGTGTCCTCCAACGTGGCCATGAGCTCATCTGGGGAGACGGTGGCTTCCAGATCATCGATACCCAACAGTGCATCGAAGTCAAATTCCTTCAAATCCATCTTCTCCACCATCCAATCCATGCCAGAGAAGGCATCCTCTGTTAAAGAAATGACAATTAAAAAACAAAAACAAAAACCACGAACTTTAGAAATGAGGGTTTTAAAAAAGTATTTTTTTCTCTCCTTTCCTGTGCTCATTTAACATATTTAGATGCTGCTGCTAGCACTCATATCAGCTTAGCTCTTTAATCTTATTAATAATGTCACACATTTACTACATGGAACTATAATTCAGCAAGGCCACCCAACGTTTTCAGAAAACGTTTCAGTCTGTGTCTTACCCTGGCTGTTGTCTGTGGCATTGTTCGAACTATCCACAGCCAGCCATTCGGAAGAGCCCACTTTAGCCTTGTCGCTGGAGAACCCATGCGAACTGAGGTTCTTGGCCACCTCCAGGTAGTCATCTAGGAGGCCCAGGCCCTCCTCAGCCACCAAACACGGCTGGTTGAAGGGGGACAGAAAATCCCCCAACAACATCTCTGTGTTTGAGAAGCTCATTTTGGTCAGATTTTAGTACTTTGTCGTCAAAAAGCGTGGACAAATAGATGGTGTCTTTGTCGAATACAGCAAAGCTGCTGTCTGATGGCTTGAAAAACCTGAAAGACACAAGCAATTTTTGTTGTTATTATAAAGATGTCCATCGATGTTGAATTCAGGTTCCCTTGAGAGGGAAAAGACGAAAAAAAGTACATTACTGCAACAACAGCACCCCATGATTCCAGTTTAGGACACTGTATCTGGATCCTATCCAAGAGAGTTCTACTGAATACCAACAAGGCACTATTGTACAATAGCGCCAACTAGGATTTGTGGAAAATGTTCTCACTTCTGCAAGACAGCCTGCTTGGGTTTCCTCCCAACCATATATGGTCACAGCCACGGTTTCAGCTCCACCCACCACTTTTCCTGGTCTGATTCATGCATTCACAAGCGTCAAAGGCAACAGCTGCAGCCATTTCATGATCTGCCTGCTGTGCATGTCCCCACCCTATAAATAGGGAGCCATTTTGTGTGCTGCCACGTTCCATGAAGGTTCAATTACTCCTGGTATCCTGGCATTTTTCTAAGCAAGGCTGAGCAGCAGCAATATAAGGGGGTGCAAAATAGTTTGAATTCACATTCAGTGATCAAAAAAGGGTAACACTTTCCACAAATAGATATACACAAAACTTATTTCAAGGTGACAGGGAGCCATATGAAATCCCCACCCTTTCTTGGAAAGCTCAATATGGCACCAATCCAAAACAGATCTGAAGCTAGGGAAAGCCAGCATTTTTCTCCTTTTAAGTGTCTTGGGCCCAGCAAAATTAAACAAAAATTAGAGCTGCTCCTTTTGCCCGTCACTGTATGTTGAGAAAAGCTTTACCAGTTGTCTGGCAAGTAGGTACCAATAAACCACAGCTGTTTGGCTCATTAAAGCCACAGCATATTTACCTTAAATGCCATCTTTGGTCTATATTGGACGGGAAGACACAGCACAGATCTGTCAATAGTTCAGATCTCATGAGCATTTGCTTAGCTATGAAGGGAAATCACTTTAATTACCCTGGGAAGCCCGCAGGCTCATTAACTCATCTTCCACTTTGGACAAATAGACCTCTCCCATCCTTTTTCTCTCCAAGGGATACCTCGCCCCACCCTCTGATCTCCTTTCCACTTCCAAGGTAGATCTTTATTTTGGGAGGACGAACCATTTCCAGAATGTCACATTATCCCCACTTCATGCCCCGCCCACAAAAGCATATGTCAAGGCGCGACCCTTTCCAGAGGGAGAAGCGTAACGTAAAACGTTGCTAATTACACCCCGGGGCTTTTAATCCCGTGAGATGAGTCTATGAGTTTCCCCGCCGCCACCGCCCACTACTATACTGGTTTATGTTTAAAGATGGTTCTCGTCGCCCCGTCCTTCGGAAGAATGAGGCGATCCACCCGTTTTGTCCCTCCTCGATACTCACGCCATGGTTGCAGATGCCTGGAGATGCCGAGGCCGCGGCCGATGCTGCTGCGCCTCTGCAATGGCCGATGCCGCCGCTTGCACTGCCGCACCTACCATGCCATGGCGGCGGCTGCGGTAGCAGAAATCACCCCCTCGCTTCGACGCCGCGTTTGAGCTGCGCCCCGGACAGCAACACGCACTACCAGACTATACTCTTAATTCTACAGGCAGACAATGAGGCTGCGCCGCCCGCGCTTTCCGTATTTATACGCAACAAGATCCGGCAGGACGCGCCCCTCGAAGAGCAATCACTCCAACAGGATCCTTCCACCAACCGTTTCCAGAGTTAAAATAACTTCGTTCAAAGAACTGGATTTTCTCAGAGGGCACTCTACAGGACTCTAGGGGCCAAACGTACAGTTCGCGGGGCTTGGCGACTGGATCTGCCTGCCCCTTCTCAAAAGTCAGCGGAAGGTTTTCAGGTACTACACTGTGCTATTTTACTCTAATGCCGCTCTCCAGGCTCTCAATTAAGGTCAGACCGCGTGACGCAGAAACGGCTGGCTGGCTTCCTATTGGCTTCCTTGGAGCAGTGGGAAGGCGACTGGCTGGAGCAGATGGTGTCCCGAACTCGAGATAGCACGTGAACATAGAAACACCCGATTGGCTGACAGCGCCTGTCCACGTGTACTGTAAACCGTCATTGGCTTAGAGCGGGAAGGGCGTCAATGGGTTCCGAAAGGCGGTTGAGGGGTGGGAGGGAGGCAGAATTCTTTTCTGTGTCCTCGCGCGCATTAAAAATTCAACCGCCTCAGGTTGGAGGACGGCGCAAACGTCCTTTCGTTGTCCCCGTCCTGCGTGTTCCTTAATGCGCTGCTGCTGCTTGCCTCTCCCTTCTTTTGGAATGTGAATATAGGAAAGGAACCTTGTTCCATCTTCTTTGCCATCCTTTTCCTTCCCCCTTTTCCAGAGCGGCTGCCTTGTTTGGTCGGTGTGGCAAGAGACTAAACATGGCTGCTCCCCTGGAACCGGCCTGACGTTCGTGGAGCTCCGTCCGCAGGAGCCCTATAGGGCGCAGTAACCGCCTCTTCCTCTCCCTCCCTTGGCTGTGCTGGGGTGCAGATGGCGGCTGGCGAGCCTAATCGCTCCCCACCATAATGCACTATAAAAGAGATAAGAATTGAGTGTAACTGTTGCCGTGACAACCAGAGAGGACATCTGCAGAAGCCCCAAGCAGCTGCTTTTCCCTCAAAGATGGCCAAGCTGCCCACAGGGAAGGCGCAGCGGGGCATAAAGCCTTCTGGGGGGCGTGGGGGGGAGATGAGCCTTCAGGCAGCAGCAGCCGCCCATGCTGACTCCTGGCACTTGCCTGCCTGCCTGTTTCTCAGGGCCGCATAGCGAGGAGTATGGTGCGCTGGACTGGATCCGCGCCTCTGAGCTCTCGGGAGGGTAAAAGGATGAGATCGCTATGCCTTGGTCGCTGCTCGCACGTTTTTCTAGGCAACACCGTAGGCCCAATCCTCTTCTCCGCACCCAGGGACGATAAGCGAGAGAGGGGAAGGTGTGAGGAGCTGCTCTTTGCCCTTGCCATGCACATTTCTGCCCTCCCCAAAACGGGAGAGCGTAGAAGAAATAGTGCCGCTGGGGTGTATGTGTTCTGGGGCGCTTTCTAAGTTGGGGAACAGCCCCTCATCCTTTCTAGCATCTGGTGCAGATGGCATAAATTGTTTGGTCACCTTTTCCTTCCCTCTCCATTCGGCTTCTTTTCCTGCAGAATAACTGCCTCAGTGCTAAAAAGCATAGGGTATGGTTTTTAAAAATAACATAACATGTAGCTTGACCCCCTTCGTGTTGAGTAATCCACTTCCTTTCTTCTGCCCGTATCTCTGGGTGATTCACAACTTTTTCTTCCTCCTTCCCTCATGAGGGGAATCAACATGAAAGTTCATGTGTGGTCTGGTAGTCCTGAATCAATAAAAGCGCAGTTGTTTGGAAAGGGAAGTCTTTGGGATTTTCTTTTTTGCGAAATGAAAAAACTACATCTGTGTACTAAGGCATTCACAATAGAAGGATTAATCATGGTTTGTAGTATAAAGTGCACAGTTCTGTGACCTCTTCCACTACTGCTGCATTTTCTTATTTATCTCATTTGTATTCTCTCTTTTCTCTCTTGAAGAGACTGAAGGCAACATACCGCTACCTGAAGTCATCCCATTTTATCTGCTCAACGTCCCTGTGAGGCAGGCTAGCTTCAAGGTCATATAGTGAGCGTTATAATTGTGCGGATTAAGTTTTGGTCCAACAAATCTTTATCTCAATTCCATTGTGGCATCCGTTTTTTTCTCAAAAATAAAGCAATGCTGCAACTACCAAGCAAGCACTGGACTCAGCTGCGCAGCAATAATGGTTAGCTAAAGAAAGACATAGTCACAGAATACTTGCAGTAGTTGCTGATTTCTGCTAAATATGATGCTGTATTTACTGTCATTTTCAAAAAAGAAACTAACCAAGTACGGTATCTTTGAAGATGTATGAGTGGAAAACTCTTTACTTGAACTGGCGGTTGTTACTGTTGCAATTCCATCCATATTAATTTACAAATAGCTGATACATTACTTATGTTGGGTGCAGTGCTTTGAAGGCCAGGTAATTTTTGTAATTTTGTTGTACTGTTAATACTATACACAACTTGTCTCAAAGCTATGTAGCTCCTAAAAGCTTTAGTGTTTCAAAATTAACAAGTTCACAAATGAAGAGTGTTCACAATTGGACTTTTTAACCTGTCCAGTGCTACTTAAACCTGTGTGTTGGTTGGGAATATGAAGCCCATGAGGTTATGTTGCTAGTTAAAAATAAACCAGTTCTCACACATACACCTTATTGTCTCCTTCTTTAAGATAAGCGTTGTTCAGCTTGTTTCTTCTTTTCAAAATAAAATCTTCAACAGGATATAGTAAAAGGAACTTCATTTCCCAAGACTGATGAAGGGGGAAATAATCAGTAGGTGGACACGTCAGCACCAGTGTTTTCCATTGACAGAGTAGCAGCTCTCCTGTTTGCTTAAAAGGTCGTACAAGATTTTATTGACTGATGCAGGTCAATCTGTTACTGTATTTAAAAAAGCAACAACCATGCCCCTCAGGGTCACAAGGGATTAAGTTTAAAAAAAAATTGATTTAGCACTGCATTGCACCAAATATGTGCATTTGGCAAATACATTAGATTACCTCCTTTCTTTTTCTTTTTTTTACAAATTTAGTTTGGTTAGTTGAAGATAGATTACATGAAGGTTATTTTTACATATGTGCAAAAATAGATTTCACTGGGCCAAAACACTCATTTTTACAACCAGCCCGCAGTCACATTGATTTTGATGGTGCAAGTGTATCTGTGTTTGTTCAGCCCCATGGCCTTAACTAGGTTTGTGTGTGCGCAGCTGTTCTGTGAAAGGGGTGGGGAATGCAAACTTAGCTGAAGAATCCACTGGTGCACATTAGCAATACTTGGCTTATTTACTTCTGCTGGTTTTGAAAAATGACAGCAAAAGAACCTATTAGGCTTTAACAACCATTGAAGTAAATATGTATAGTTCTTCAGATAGGAAAATACCTGTGCAGAAATCATGTGAGATATTTTAACATTCAGGATGCTAAAACCACAAAATCTTACTTTAGTTTTGTCATTTGCTCTCTGCCAAAGAAGAATCGCCAAAAGCACTTCAGTACTGCGGAAATCTAGGAAACTCTGCTTTCAGTGCATAAAGGGGGATGCAGCTGCTGCATGTCTGATTGGCTGGGCAAATGGGTGGACATCATCACAGGGTGCTGACTGGCTGCTGTAAACGATCTCATATCATTCCCCTCCCTACTTGAGTGAATGCCTTTTTAAGTGAAAATGGAAAGGTCATTCTAATCATAGTTAAATCAATGGAAATTAAATGTAAACCGTAACCTTTACCCCCCAGAGATAATAAATCTCAATGAAAGAGCCCATTGTGGAGCTGAACAAAGGACACAAGTTAAATAAAAATAACTGGCTTGCCCTAGCATTACAAAGGAAATAAATCCTTAGCATTTGTGGTGATGAAACATTCCAGAAAGAAATTCCCGGTCCCTGGGCCAAAAATAAATTAATTCAAAACTTCTTGTTTTAGAATCGTCTTCTATTTAGGCATGAAATGTAATTACTTTCAGAATTCTGCAGAGAAACTAATGTACCTAACCTGGGTGGGTAACAACATTTTTCCAGCCTTACAGCAACTTTGTAGGATTATTATAATTAGTCTTACTGACAAAGACTTGTCCCTGGCAATTGGAGGGAATTGAACACAGCATCCCAAAATCTATACCCCGCATTACAAACACACAAATTAACAATTTATTTCTCTCTAATGTAAGATACAGAAAAATGGAATGTCATGTTGACATGTCAACACATCTCACCATTTCACAGCAAACAAACAAACCACCAGAGCATTCAAGAATCCATTGAATTTCCTATATCCCCAGGGGTATATAATCCTAGTGGATCCCCGCCCCCTGCATGGGGTGTTTTGCCACTTGCCAGGAAATGATTTAACAATGACAACAGGTTTATGAGTGCTCCTGTTTCCAGACCTTCCTTCCCAAAGAATACCAAACTGAGAGCATGCCCTGCTCCATGTGCTGAGCTGACAATAAACTGAAATAGCCCCATGGTTACCATGGAGGCTATGAAGTCCCACACTAGCTCACTAAGAGGGACTTTGGTGTGGACACCGAAGTCCCCCAGAATAATAATCCTGGAGTTCTCCAATACCATGCTCCAGACCATCTTTACCAGCTCAGTCAAGGAGACTGTTGGGCAGCAGGAATCAATATAATTCGGTTCAGGGATGGGAAACCTCTGGTCCAGGGGCTGGACTCTCCCCAGGCCACATCACTCCCTGGCCTTGCTTCATAACCTACCGTATTTTTCGCTCTATAAGACACATTTTCCCCCTCCTAAAAAGTAAGGGGAAATAAGTGTGCGTCGTATGGAGTGAATGCAGGCTACATGGCTTCAGTGAATGCAACGCAAAGCCAGGAGAGCAAGAGGGGTCAGTGCACACCGACCCCTCTTGCTCTCCTGGCTTCGCTTCGCTGGAGAGGCCCTGCGCAGCTTTCCCTCTCTGCGCAGCGCCCCTTCAGCGAAGCGGGAGGAGAAATGGAAGGGGCTCTGCTTCTCCTGCCGCTTCGCTGAAGGGGCGCTGAGCAGAGAGGGAGAGAATATTTTTTTTCTTGTTCTCCTCTAAAACTAGGTGCGTCTTATGGTCAGGTGCGTCTTATAGAGCGAAAAATACAGTAGGCATTTTCCCAGGATGGGATGTGCCCTTGAACTCTGATGATGCCTCCTGCTTGCCTGGATGGAGGCTAGAGAAGGATGTGTGAGTGTGTGTAGAAGCTAGCCTACTGTAAAAAGGCAAAACTCACTTTCATTGCTCCATGTCCTTTGGACTCTGGCCCCACCCACCACTGGTATGTGGCCTCCGGATAGTTGCCCAAAACAGAATGTGGCCCTTGGCCTGAAAAAGGTTCCCCAGCACTGGTGTATTTGTTCCCTCCATCTGTAGTTTATAACAATCTGGAATTGGAATATAAGAGAAATTTGCAGACATACTTGAATTAGCCTTACAAGGTGGAAGACCAAGGCCACATTCACAACATGCATTTAAAGCACCATGATGCCACTGTGATTTTTACTACGATTGTAGTTAAGGGTGCTACAATTTACTGGAAATTGTAGTTAAGGGTGCTGAGAATTGTTAGCAGTCTCCTATTCCCCTCCCAGAGCTCTAGTTTCAGAGTGGTTTAACAACCAATCCCCATTCACAGGGAACTCTAGGAATTGTACTTTTGTGAGGGGGCGTCAGATACCTGTCTCCACATTTATTAGAAACTGAGGAAGCTGCCTTATATCAAGTCAGACCATTGTTCCATCTAGCTCAGTATTGGCTGCACTGACTCAGACAAAGATCCAGGGATCTTCTGCATGCACAGCAGATGTTCCCCTACTGTCAGGAACCAGACTGATGGGTATTGCTCTGAGGAAGAATGTGAGAGCCCCCCTCTCCCTCTGCTCAAGGGCCTGATCCTGATGTTCCTCTGGAGCAGGAGGATAGTACTGTATCGACCTAGAGCAATGGTTCGTGGAAGGACACAGTTTGAGAACTGACAGTTGGGTTGAGCTGGGAGAAGAGCAACCAAGGGGAGAGGATCAGGAAGCGAGGGAGCTGGTTGGATCTCCCTCACTAGAAAGTGTGCAGCCCACGAGCCCTAGAGCCAGGCGTCTGGATAGGGTAGCCTCTCAGAAGACTCAGTGGTGGAGGGATCACGTGGTGAGGAGACGGAAGTAACTAGAAGGAAGTGGGAGGAACTCAACCAGGGGCACCTACACGGTGAGAATGGACACTGAATGTTTGTGCTGTGTTCAATAAACCTCTGTTGCTGCAAAAGACTGCTTTTGCTTTGTGCTGTTATCTACAAAGAGGGGGAAGGTAAGCCTTGCCTGGCAGCATGACACCTACTGAACTACAGCCATTTTCCAATTGAATAAATTGAATTTAGGCACCTGTAGATATTACTGCTTGTCGTAGTTTATACCAAATGGCAGCAGCCTGGGTTTGAACCTGTAACATTATGTAAAGCAGATGCTCAGTCACTGAACTATGGCCCTTCCCTCCACTTGGGTGGGGGCAGCAGGACAGAGTTGTGTAAGACTCTGATGACCATCTACTCTATTGCTACAGTCCACATTTGGCCATTGGGCAAGAATGGCGTATTGCTACATTCAAGAAAATGCAAGAAGTGCTCAGAATTGTTTCCCTCAATCTACAGAGGGGGAGATCCTATGGAAAGCCCAGTTATAGCCAGTGAACACAAATAACGTGCTCCTGTTTTGCATCTCGTTCTTTAGAAGCTGATATGCTTCATGAAGCATAATCAGTAATACAGCAAAAGGTCAAAACTGCAAATGAGTATTGGAATGTAAAGGGTAGACAGGGTTACAATTTTGTTACTTAAAACACAATAAAGGATCAGGTAAGAATGCAATTGTTGTCGTACTCGGTTGCAATGGGATCCTTTGGCTGGTTTACTCCACCCACATAGTTGAGTACATTTCTACACTAGTTCAGAGCAACCATATTGTCACGCGATTCTTGGAATTACACAACGTTCCTTCCCCCCCCTTTCATGTTTCATTTTTCTTCACTGAATCACCATGAAAATATTATAATTACAACCGTAAGCAGAGTCTTGTGCTGCAGTGAGCTCACTGGGCCCAAAGGCACCAATACTTTGCTATTACTCCACTGCTAGACGGTTAACACAGCAGCCCATATACAGCATAGAAAAATGTTTATTATTTAATTTAATGCCCTTATTTATTTTAATCTACCTTCCTCCAAATGCAGGACCCAAGGCATAATAAATTATAACAAATACAACTAAAAACACACAAGAAATATAAATATCAAAGCAAAAAAAAAAGGAACCGTGTTTTTTAAAAGCACTGTTTTCCTTTATTTATTATGGAGATTTTAGGTTGGTGGAAGGAAGCAGTTTGTCCTAGTTGCCACTCAGCAAATTTAGTTGTTACCCAAATTATGGCACAAGGAACCATCAATGCAGATGGTGATATTTGGGGAAAGGGGGTGGGGTTAAAAGCTGAACACACAGATGTTTGATAGTGATACAGTAACTTAAGGGATGTCAAAAAATGAAAGATAAATCATGCATTCAAAACATATATTCCATACCTGGTGGCCAGTCTTTCCCTCACTAGGCCAGGTAACTTGATTACCGTAGCTTATAGACCAGGTGTAAGGAATCCTTTTTTTCCTGTTGAGGGCTGC